AGCCCATGGAGCCCACCCTGTGCCCCATCCCCACCTTGTCCCCCAGCCCAGAGCACTGAGTGCCACGGCCATGCCTTCCTGGGACACCTCCAGGGCTGGGCACTCCAAACCTCCCTGGGCAGCCCCTGCCAGTGCCTGAACACCCTTTCCAGGGAGAAATTCCTCCTGATGTCAAACCTGAGCCTCCTCTGGTGCAGCTTGAGGCCATTCCCTCTCCTCCTGTCCCTTGTTCCATGGGAAAAGAGGCTGAATGTATTCAGGAATGGCTTTCAGTGGGGTTTTCCCTGTGTTTTCCCATGTGAGGCTCCTTCACCTGCTGGAGCAAGGGGACATGATCCCATGAGTCCCCCAGGGCTTTGCTTCTGCCTTTGGTCAGAGAAATCCCAAACTTTCCCTGGCTGGAATTTGCCTTCACTTGGGCAAAGCTGAGTGGGTGCAGCAGCTCCTGGGGTGCAGGAGGGGTGACAGGGACACAGCAGCCCTGAGCCAGTGCCAGCCAAGCCAGAGACCAGGGCCAGGCTCATCCTGAGCTCTGCTCTGTATGCCCAGGGACAGGACCCAGGGAATGGTTGGAGCTGTGTCAGGGCAGGGTCAGGTTGGATCTCAGGCAAAGGTTCTTCCCCCAGAGGGTGGTTGGGCACTGCCCAGGCTCCCCAGGGCAGTGGGCACAGCCCCAAGGTTGCCAGAGCTCCAGGAGGGTTTGGATGATCCTCTAGGGCACATCTTGGGGCTGGGCCTGTGCAGGGCTGAGAGCTGGACTGGATGATCCTTGTGGATCCCTCCCAGCCCAGCAGATCCTGTGGTCCTGTGGTTCTGTGATCCCTATTGCAGCCGACACAGACTCGACCCTCACTGGCTCTGCAGCCACTGAAACCTCTCTCTCCTCTCCATTCCTGGCCCAATTACCACCTTGTGCCCTGTAACTCGCAGCTCTGACTAAGCCAAATTCAATTTTATCTCCAGCCTGCAACGGGAGCTGGAGCTGGGGAGCCGTTTCTGGCAGAGCTGGCCCTCCCCAGCCTGACAACCAGTTTTACTTCCCAGCAGGGAATAGACTGATCGCTCATTTACGGCTGCAATCATCTCCCTGTTACAGCATTAGGAAGGAATGAGCACCAAAAGCCATTATAATTAAGATCTCTCTGGAGCTGACA